GACCCAGGATCTTGGACGCAAACCCAGCTTTCTGACACTGGGCCCTACAGTGCGACCCAAAATCCTTTGGTAATCCTCAGATTTCATGATGCCTTGCACACAGTCAAGGCACCCAGTGCCAGAGGCAGCAAAACAACCCCAAAACATCATTGAACCTCCACCATATTTTACCGTAGGTACTGTGTTTTGTTCTTTGTAGGCCTCATTCCATTTTCGGTAAACAGTAGAATGATGTGCTTTACCGAAAAGCTCTATCTTGGTCTCATCTGTCCACAAGACGTTTTCCCAGAAGGCTTTTGGCTTACTCAAGTACATTTTGGCAAACTGTAGTCTTGCTTTTTTATGTCTCTGTGTCAGCAGTGGGGTCCTCCTGGGTCTCCTGCCATAGCGTTTCATTTCATTTAAATGTCGACGGATAGTTCGCGCTGACACTGATGCTCCCTGAGCCTGCAGGACAGCTTGAATGTCTTTGGAACATGTTTGGGGCTGCTTATCCACCATCCGGACTATTCTGCGTTGCAATCTTTCATCAATTTTCCTCATCCGTCCACGACCAGGGAGATTAGCTACAGTGCCATGGGTTGCAAACTTCTTGATAATGTTGCGCACTGTGGACAAAGGCAAATCTAGTTCTCTGGAGATGGACTTGTAACCTTGAGATTGTTGATATTTTGCCACAATTTTGGTTCTCAGGTCCTCAGACAGTTCTCGTCTCCTCTTTCTGTTGTCCATGCTTAGTGTGGCACAGACAGACACACAATGCAAAGGTTAAGTGAACGTCTCTCCTTTTTATCTGCTTTCAGGTGTGATTTCTATATTGCCCACACCTGTTACTTGCCCCAGGTGAGTTTACAGGAGCATCACATGCTTGTAACATTCTTATTTATCCGCAGTTGTGAAAGGGTGCCAATACTTTTGTCCAGCCCATTTTTGGAGGTTTGTGTGACATTATGTCGAATTTGCTTTCTTTCCTCCCTTTTTTTTTTTTTGTCCCAATACACACAAAGGGAAATAAACATGTGTATAGCAAAACATGTGTTAATGCAATACGTTTCGTGAGAAATACATGATTTCCTGGAGAAATATCAAGGGTGCCAACAATTTCGGCCATGACTGTATATATTATATATATGTAATTTTGCATTTCCGGGTAAGGGGGTACCCGTGCTGTCATTGGCGGCCAGACCTGTCAATCACCGGTTCCGGACAGTGATTCCTCGCCAGCACCCAGCGATCGCCGAGTATCACTGGAGGGGGAGAGACCAGTATGTAAACAATACAAATCTCTCACCTGTCAGCTCCTGCACATTGCTTTGTATTGCTCTGCATATTGAACACATTGAAACACAGCACACAGTAAAACAGCACACAGCACAAAGTTAACTGTTTGATCCCCCCAGGTGTTAACCTCTTCCTGCCCAGTGCCATTAGTACAATGTAGTTGCCTTTTATTAGCAATGATCACTGTAATAGTGTCACTGGGGATGTCAGTGACAGTTAGCCAGTTCCCCCCCAGTGTCAGAATGCCCGCTGCAGTCCCGCAGTCCCACTATAAGTCACTGATCACTGACCATTACTAGTATAAAAAAAATTCCAGTATATATACCGCCATTTGTAGACACTATAACTTTCACGTAATTTACATGTATTGGGATTTTTTTTAGCAAAGACATTTAGCAGAATACATTTTGGCCTAGATTGATGACAAAATTTTATTTTTTTTACTGGACATATTTAATAGCAAAAAGTAAAAAAATACAGTTTTTTTTTCTCAAAATTTCGGTCTTTTTTTGTTTATAGTGCAAAAAATAAAAAACGCACAGGCGATCAAATACCACCCCAAGAAAGCTTAATTTGTGGGAAAAAAAGGACATGAATTTAATTTGGATGCAGTGTTGCATGACCGCACAATTGTCAGTTAAAGTAACGCAGCGCCATATCGCAAAAAATGGCCTGGTCAGGAAGGGGGGGGGGGGTAAATCCTCCAGAGGGCAAGTGGTTAAAATACATCTTCAAGCAGGCCAACTGTGTAAAAGTGATCCTTCTCTGGCAGTCACTACTCTACTGTGGAAAATACCAAATACTTACAGTACAATTTAATCGACATATAGTGCCAGTATTGGACAGACACACAGTTGGAGAACAGCTACAGGTCTGGTCACTGACTGGCATTATGTTTTAGACATGGAGATATGTTTGTGCTTGAATTTGAATAGCTTATGTATATAGCACTTACTTGAGGTCACATATGTTGGTGGGAAATTGGTTTAACCCATTACCATCACCTAGTGGCAGAACCATTAATTACAGTATAATATATGAGAACTATTGTTGCACATGTCTGTAGAAGCAGCATGCTACAATAGGTCATATCGTGTAACTGACAAGTAGGGTTAAGTTTTGGGTTGGTCTGAACGTTGAAGGAAGCTGTCAGTCCCAGGCCAATCAGCTAGGGGTGAGGAATTTCCCATTCCACAGCTGAATTCATAAAAATGGGTGGGGATGCTCATGATATCACATCACATACCTAATATGACCATGTGGCACCTGCCTGCAGCTGATTGGCCTAACAATGACAGCTTTGTGCTATGTTCAGGCAAACATGGGTTTAGGTGGAGCCCAAACCCAAGCTCATCTTTAGGAACAACCAGGGAAAGAGTTAAGCTGGCCATACATGTATAGATTTTCGTTCAAGAATTTTCATTTCAAGAAAATTCTTAGATTTTCTAATCGCTAGTGGTGTCAAATCGATGTTTTTGATGGGAAAATTCGAAAAGCTAAACTTTTCTTGATCAAACAAATTTTCGGCCAGCATAAAGGTGGGAAAACACGATTAGGAGATTGACCAATCGGTCATCCGACGACTGAGAGGCGTTTGTTCGTTGGTCGAAATCATGATCCACATTAACCAATCTAAAAAAAATCATTCGTTGGGCAATACGTAGTGTTGATGTCTTCTGTTCAAGTGGTGCAGTGTGCGTGTGACCTTGTAGCCACGCCCTTCCAGCCAGAACGAGCGATATACACAACAATTACCAGCAATGAGTATAATATCGTTTATTACATTATCTATATACATAAATAGTGATACATAAAATATAATCTGCAGAATTCTGGATTCATTATCTCATTAGGACAATCTACTTTTAACATTTAACTTGGACATAAACATCCGAGTCATCTTCTGTTTCCGCTCATGCCTGATAGCGCTTGCTAGATGGTTTTTGTACGACTGTCATACCACCGCATAGAAAATCGATCATTCGTATGTGAAACCACAAACTTTTTCTATATTCAACCGGATTTTTTCGTTCACAATATCGTTATCGGTTAAAACATCCTGCTCATCAACAAAGAAAAATTTTTTGATTAGTGGTTCTGCACAGTTTTTTGTACAATTTTCTTATCGTGTGTACAGGGCATTAGTGGTTATCGTTCAGAAATTACATTCCTTTTAAACTTGAATGTTAAAAGCAAAAGACAATTTTCGAACGACATTCGTCCATTCCCCGAATGTTCAAATAATGTTGACTGCGCATTTGTGATCATTTTAGCTGAGCAGCCTATCATTTTCTGCACTTCTTTATATGTTTTCCCCTCTCCAACAGGGGCGGACTGACCATTTGGAAACTCAGGCACTGCCCGAGGGCCCGGGGTCAGTAGGGGGCCCCATGAGATGCCCCTGGTACCTTTTTCATAGGCTTTTTTGAGTTTGGGCAAGGACACGGGCCCCATGATCCTCTATTGCCCGGGGGCCCCATGAGTTGTCAGTCCACCCCTGCTCTCCGATCAAATTTTTAATGACTTTTCGTACAAATATTCTCGTCCGAAAATCTACACATATATGGCCAGCTTACTCCCTGATAGGCGAATATAGATTGAAAAATGTGAATTTTACAGGTTTTTTTTAATTGGTTCTGCTTTACTACAACCCCAGTAGTCCAGTGTATAGCTCATGAGGATGCTTCCTTCACATGCTGCTCACACAGGTGCTCTTTAAATACTGAAATAGGTCCCCACAGCCCTTAAGTACTCCACTAAGCCTACTTTTTTATATACGAAAATCAAAAGGGAACTTTTGAATCACCAAAAAAAAAATAACATCGCTAGCCTATAGCTTTCCCAGATGAGAGAATTGCCCTGTAAATTGCATCCAGCATTATGTAATATTCCCACTTTAATAACTCCTTAGCTCGTGGCACTGAGCTATCCCTTGATAGTTTAAAAATTACAGTTGCAAGAGTTAGAAGCAATGTACAATGAAAAGCAATATACAGAAAAGAGTTGATTGTACCCTTTGGAAATATCTCATTTAGTACGAGCGGTTTGTTTGCTGAACGTGTTGTAGCAGAAATAAAATATAGGAGAAGATTAGTTTTCGATGTAGGTGCACAGGCATGGCTAAGAAAGTAAAATATTTCTCCAAAGACAAATTAAAAGCAAAAACCACTAGACTTTTTTTTTTGACTTGTTGACATAATGACATGGCGTGTCTGATAAATTGCAGGTTATACGTGAGGCTTTTCTCAAATAAACAGGTCTGAACTACTCAAATAAACAGGTCTGAACTAGGTCTGTTGAAAATTATTAAAGAGAGACTGTTGTGCATTTTCTGTAAGTATTAATTTTGTGCTATTATTGTAACACAAGAGGAATTTTGGCACAATTTTCCTATTTTCTACATGCTTGAGATGCCATATTTTCATATAAGTGAGCCAATTAGTGGTATCCTGGAGACAGTACAATTTAAAGCGCCTGTGATCCAAAAATCGATTTTTCAGTATGTTTGGCATGATGCCATACTGTATATAGTTTTTTTTTTTTTAGGTAAATAATTTTTTTTGAGAAACTATTGCAAAGTTTTTTGCCTGAAGATCCTAGCAGTAGCAGCACATACTGTTGCAGGCTGACAACGCTAACCCACTGCCTTGCAATTAGCTGTAGTGTTGTCAGCCCGCTGTGTGTACTCCTTTAGTTGGCTGCAGGGGCGGACTGACAACTCATGGGGCCCCCGGGCAATAGGGGATCATTGGGCCCCTGTGTCCTTGCCCAAACTCAAAAAAGCCTATGAAAAAGGTACCAGGGGCATCTCATGGGGCCCCCTACTGACCCCCCAGGGTCTCGGGGGCAGTGCCCTAGTTTCCAAATGGTCAGTCCGCCCCTGGTTGGCTGTTGGACTGGCTGTTAGGTCTGTGCATGCCTTCTGAAGACCTGAACATTATAAAAAAGTGCATAAAGATGTGAATCGGCCCTCATTCTAGGTTCAAACTAATACGGTGCGGTACATCACATGTGATTCGCACAGGAACGCACCGCATTCCTGTGCAAATCACATGCGATTTGTGTGTGCGGTGTGATTGGAGCCATACATTTTATATGGCTCAAATCGAACCTCACCAACAAGGTGCAGGACCCTTTTTTGGGGTCCGCACTAGAATCGGATCGTATCGGTTTTCACACCTATGTAATCCGATTCTGCACATCGCACCGCGTTTTGTGGATCGATTTAGGGGTGTTATTAACTTAACCTACACATCCGCATGGTTCACATGAACGGGGTGCGATTCTGATGCGGTGCGGAATTTGCACAGAAAACGCTACGAATTCCGCACTGCATTAGTGTGAACGCGGGCTGAAAACTGAACTGCAGGATAAGCAAATATAGTCTAAATACAAGAGACATTCATATTTTTACTGGAATCTTAGTGTGCTTTGTGTATTTTTTCAAAATCATGCAGATTAAAACTGTCTCTGTGCTGGAACTTCCTGTAAGAGTGACCAATCAATGGCGTCCCTCCTTGTCTCCATCCTCTCCTGTAGTTTCCTGCAGCCTGTAGTAGGTGGGTAGTATGTACAGATGATGTCACTGCTACATTTTCAAGGTAATATCTGGGTATGTAAAGGCAGTTGGTGTGAACTAAGTAGATATACATTCTTTCTGGCTATCAATGAATATATTTATATGAGAATTCTTGTGTCTTTAATTTAACTTTAATTTAACACTGTCCACATGAACACATTACATTTGCATTGATTTATTTTTATTAGGTTCACTAGTATTATTCAATCATATACAGTTGTGTTCAAAAAAATAGCAGTGTGTTGAAAAAAGTGAATAAAGCTCAAAATCCTTCTAATAGCTTTTATTTCCATACACACAAATGCATTGGGAACACGACACATTCTATTCCAAATCAAAACATGAAGAAAAATATATCAAATTTGTGTTGTTCCTCTAAAAAATTGAAGAAAAGTGAATATTAGACTGTTCAAAAAAATAGCAGTGTTTGTATTCTTCTTTACAAACTCAAACATTCACTATATAAACTGAAAAAATGTTTCAAAGATTTTGCTTTCCTTTGAATGACTTAATGAATATTTAGTTGTAGTCGCACTGTTTCTGAGAACTGCTGTACATCTGTGTTGCATGGAGTCACCCAACTTCTGGCCCCTGTGAACAGGTATTCCAGCCCAGGATGATTGGACTACATTCCACAGTTCTTCTCTATTTCGTGGTTTTGCCTCAGAAACTGCATTTTTTTATGTCACCCCACAACACATTTTCTATTGGATGAAGATCCGGGGATTGGGCTGGCCACTCCATAACGTCAATCTTGTTGGTCTGGAACCAAGATGTTGCACGTTTACTGGTGTGTTTTGGGGTCGTTGTCTTGTTGGAACACCCATTTCAAGGGCATTTCCTCTTCAGCATAAGGCAGCATGACCTCTTCAAGTATTCTGATGTATTCAAACTCATCCATGATCCCTGGTATGCGATAAATAGGCCCAACACCGTAGTATGAGAAACATCCCCATATCACGATGCTTGCACCACCATGCTTCACTGTCTTCACAGTGTACTGTGGCTTGAATTCAGTGTTTGGGGATCGTCTGACAAACTGTCTCCGGCCACTAGACCCAAGAAGAACAATCTTACTTTCATCAGTCCACAAAATGTTGCACCATTTCTCTTTAGGCCAGTCAATGTGCTCTTTGGCAAATTGTAACCTCTTTAGCACATGTCTTTTTTTTCAACAGTGGGACTTTGCGGGGGCTTCTTGCAGATAGCTTGGCTTCACATAGGCGTCTTCTAATTGTAACAGTACTCACAGGGAACTTTAGACCTTCTTTCATCTTCCTGGAGCTGATTGTTGGCTGAGTCCGCGCCATTTTGGCTATTCTTCTATCCATTTGAATGGTAGTTTTTCGCTTTCTTCCACGTCTTTCAGGTTTTGGTTGCCATTTTAAAGCATTTGCGATCATTTTAGCTGAGCAGTCAATCATTTTCTGCACTTCTTCTTATGTTTTCCCCTCTCCAATCAACTTTTTAATCAAGGTACGCTGTTCTTCTGAACAATGTCTGGAACGACCCATTTTCCTCAGAATTTCAGAGAGAAATGCACTGTAACCAGCATGTACAAGATTTGCTGCCTTCCTTCCTTAAATAAGGGCAATAATTGCCACCTGTTTTTCAAAGAATGAATGACCTCACTAATAGAACTCCACACTGCTATTATTTTTTGAACATGCCCCTTTCAATTAGTGATTCAATGACACAGAATCAGCAGCATGCATGTCATTTCTGGATTTCTATTACTCTACTACACCTGCTAGTAAATTATTTGCCATGTAGAAATATAATTTCTACCAAAAAACAGTGATTGATCAGGTTAGTGATGTCCGACTGCTATTATTTTGAACACAACTGTATATGGCTGTCACACTTTTTTAGTTTTGCTTGAATTAAAATGTATCTAAAGCCAAAAGTTTTGTTTTTTGTTTTTTTTTTTGTTTTTTTAGATGTAGGCGGTCATCCCATCTAGGTCTCTGCTTCTGAGATTCACCCTCTAGAATGATGAGCTTGAATGCGGACCAAACCTGTTTGGCGAAACTCGGAAGGAAGCTATCAGTGCTGGCCCAATCAGCTGTGGCCAGCGTATTCTGTATTACACAAAAGGGCGGGGATTCTATTGAAGAGTTAAGCTGCCTATGGATGATGCCAGGTCAGGAGGGTCAGCATACTGTCCAGACAGACTGAGTCTTAGGAGTAATGCCAATGCATACAGTAAAGTAAAATTTGAAACAGAAAACACATATTTCAAGTACATTTTCTGAAGACGCTGTCCCTTTAAACATGAAGGGAAAATTCTAAAAAGCAAGCTAATACCATTACTGATAATAATAAAGAAATGTAAATCACATTTTTTTTTAGAATCAGAAATGTTGTTATTTCCAGTTCAAGTGTTTGTTCTAATTTATACTTTGATTAGCACAATGGTGAGAACAAAAATAAAAAGAGTCTATTTCTCAGATTAGACAGAAATAGTGATATTGGGTGATCATGTGCCGGAAGCTTCTGATTGCAGCGAATGCTATGAGCTATAATTTGAATCTCTGACAAAAACATACTATATACAGGGAAAACATCCTCTCTATTGTTTCAGTGAGGCTTCTACAAAGATATTCTTACAGGTCAGCATATCTAAAATTGCAAAAATGTCTTCTAGAACAAAATTCAAGGATTTAAAGGTTTTTGAAAACTCTCTAAAGCTGCTAATGTTGTTTTGGGATTGCGTAATTTATGCTGAAGATCAGGCAAAAAGTTAAATACACAAATGAAGGATATACGGTATATTGGTGATGCTTTACCTGTGTAGCAGCCTCCTAGGTAGGTTTGCTAAGATGTTAAGTAAATTTCAGTCATTTTTCCTCCTCTGTAATCATTGGACAGCTACATAGTTACATAATCTGGCTGAAAAAAGACAAAAGTCCATCCAGTTCAACCATTAAAAAAAAGTTATAATCCTATACCCACAGTTGATCCAGAGGTAGGCAAAAAAAACCCAGCAAAGCATGATCCAATTTGCTCCTGCTGGGAAAACAATTCTCTTCCTGATCCCCCGAGAGGCAATCGGGTATGTTCCCTGGATCAACTTTACCTATAAATGTTTAGTATCCAGTTTTATATTATGTGTATCTAGGAAAGAATCCAGGACTTTTTTTAAAGCAATCCACTGAGCTGGCCAGAACCAACTCTTGAGGGAGTCTATTCCACATTTTCACAGCTCTCACTGTGAAGAAACCTTTCCGTGCTTGGAGATTACATTTATTTTCCTCCAGACATAAAGAGTGCCCCCTTGTTCCGCTGTGATGACCTCAGAGCTGTTGATTTCTTTGGCTGTTCTGGGTTTGACAAGCTGCAGGTTTAATTTCTCTCCCTGCCTTCTGGAGACGTCTGGAACATAGAAGGTTGAGCAAGGCAAATAAGTATCAATGAATATTTATTGTGCTGTAGCCAATCCCTGGGGAGGTGTGCCCAGTAGGTGGCTAGAAGAACACATAAATAGCTTTGAGGCCTGGAGCAGTTCTGTTCCAGTCCTGGGTCTAAACCGTGTAGGAGGTGTCCCCAGCCTTAGTGGCTCTGCCCCTCGGGGCAGACTGCTGGAGTTTGATGCATCAAGGTCCAGCCTTGGCAGAAACTGGAGGTGTGGGAATAGGCTACTTCTAAAAATCTTTTTTGAAGCATGCAAGGGAACCCTCATCTAAGGACCTAGTCCTGGGGAGCTCACTGAAGATTGTCTAGTAGAAGTTAGAAGTCTGGCTGTCCTGTGGCATTGTGAGCATTAACTCTCCCTCATTGAAGAGTGTCCAGTGGATAATGGAAGGAGGCATCCAGTAAACACTGTGAGTACTGACCTGAGCTCGGGGGCCTAGTGACTTTGTGCGGCTTTCTTTAGGTAGAAGAGCCAGTGGTAGTCCTGACAGGGATAGTCTTTTAAAAAAAGGACTCAGTTCTGGTGTCAGGGCTCCCAGGTATGACCAGAGGTGTGTGACTGAAGACAGGGAAATCGCAGACTTCAGATATGTGATTAACAATGTAATTTATTAATCACTAACAATACAAACATAAACGCAGTGAAATACTAAA